TCTATCTATCTATCTATCTATCTATCTATCTATCTATCTATCTATCTATCTATCTATCTATCTATCTATCTATCTATCTATCTATCTATCTATCTATCTATCTATCTATCTATCTATCTATATCCCCACCCCTCTAGACCGAAGTCTACTCTGTGCAGCTAACAATAAAAATAAAATAAAAACAATATAATAAAATAAAAACCAACTATAGTATAGTTCAAGATGGGGGAAAAATATTCAAGTGATGACAGGAGGGAAAGCCTGCCTAAAGACCCAGACCTTAAGTTTGCTATTAAAAACACCCAGCAAGGGAGTAGTAGGAAGGGAGCCAGGCAGATCTCTGAGGGCAGTCTGTTCCAAAGGTGAGGGGCCATTGCCAAGAAGTCCCGCTTTCTTGTTCTTTCTCTTCAGGCCTCCCTTAAGCCCCTCAGCCACCCTTCCTGGCTAGAACAAGTGATTCGGGTAGCTCTAGGTGGGAAGATATGGAGCTGGTGACAGATTTTACTTTCTTGTTCTCCGTGATCACGGCAGATGGTGAGAGCAGCCACAAAATTAAAAGACGCCTGCTTCTTGGGAGGAAAGCAATGAGAATCCTAGACAGCATCATAAGCAGAGACATCACCTATCGGCATAATCAAAACTATGGTTTTTTCCAGTAGCAATGTATGGAAGAGAGAGCTGGACCATAAAGAAGGCTGACCACTGAAGAATTGACGCTTTTGAATTGTGCTGCTGGAGGAGACTCTTGAGAGTCCCCTGGACTGCAAGGAGAACAAACTTATCCATTTTTGAAGGAAATCAAGCCTGAGTGCTCACTAGAAACACAGATCCTGAAGCTGAGGCTCCAATCCTTTGGCCATCTCACAAGAAGAGAAGACTCCCTGGAAAAGACCCTGATGTTGGGAAAGTGTGAAGGCAAAAGGAGAATGGGACGACAGAGGACGAGATGGTTGGATAGGGTCACCGACGTCTCTGCTTGATGTACAGTGTTCAAAAAAGGAGAGAGCTCCTGGCGGTGTCTCTGCTTGATCTACAGTGTTCAGAAAAGGAGAGAGCTCCTGGCGGATGGCCTCCACTTTAGATTTTAAAAATGCTGCAGATTGGTCGGGTGGAATACTAGTAGGAGGCCCATCACTTAGACCAATTCCTGATAGATTGCAAATTATATAGAAAAGTTCCGCCTGCTGATTTGAAGCTGGCTTATCTGGACAGTGACATGAGCTCGACTGGCAGCCCTCACCTTAGTAAGGTAGTGGTTAGTCACGATCCTGAGTTTTTGCTTCATAGCTCACAGCTCCTGATTAAACCTGGGCACTGGCCCAGCTCTGCAAAGGAGAGGATGTTTAGGAGTGATCGTGTCAACAGCCCTAGTGGTGGCAGTAAGCCAGCCATCAACTAGAGCCTCGACAGGAGCGCCAGTCAGATCAGCCGGAATCCCTCTCATGGAGTCCTGGAATCCTATACGACCCAGTAGCCTTTGAGGGCAGTCCATGCTTAGGTTTTTGGTTAACACTTTTTGTGGGTCATATTCTTAATGGACGTTGAAAGGTATCAGAAATACTTGGTTGAAACATGTATCTGTTATATGTCAATGTTTTCAACGGACTGCGTCTGGTATTTTTTGAATGATATTGTGCCGTCAAGTCCATTCTGATTTATGGTGCCCCTTTCATGGTTTTCCAGGTACAGTGGCGCCTCGCTAGACAGTTACCCCTGCATGACAGCTTTTTTGCTAGACATTGACTTTTTGCGATTGCTAACGCGATTCGCAAAACAGTGATTCCTACGGGGGAATTTCACTGGACAATGTTTTTGTCCCTGCTTCGCAAACCAATTTTCGCTGGACAACGATTTTGACAGCTCCCTCCGCGCTCGCAAAACGGGTGTTTTCGGGACCTCAGCTTCGCAAGACAGCGATTTAAACAGCTGATCGGTGGTTCACAAAGCAGCTTCCCTATGGCCAATCCTCACTAGACAACGACGATTCTTCCTCATTGGAATGCATTAAACAGGTTTCAATGCATTCCAATGGGGAAATGCTTTTCGCTAGACAATGATTTCGCTAAACAGCGATTTCAGTGGAACGGATTATCATCGTCTAGCGAGGCACCACTGTAGAGCGTTTTCTCCTTCCCTTCTTCTGGGTGTGTGGGTGTACCCTGGGATCACTATCCGGCTTTTGCCCAAGGCTGCCCAGGCTGGCTCTTTTCCACAGGGGGGATTCGAGCTCTGTACCTCTGGCTCCCTAAACTACTGAGCGATCTAGCTAGCACCACTTGACTAGAAATCCCAAACTCTGCCATCAAGCAAGGAGTGCCCCCCCAAGACCGGGGGGGGGCAGGAGAGCTGGCCTCAGGTTGCAGAATGGGGTGAGGGGGCTTCTTCCTTTATTCACTCCCCCCCGCCCCAAAACCATCAGATATTCAGCCTGGTGAAAGATTTGAGGCAGAACCACAGAAGCCAAGAGATCACAGAGTGAGGTTGGGTCTCCAGCTGCCTCGGCGGGGGGCCGGCAAGGGTTAAGGCCAGCGAGTCTGTAGCCAGAAGGTCTGCCTAGCAAGGCCCCCTCCCTGCTTCCGGTGGTCTTCTTCCTCTTCCTCCCCACTCACGTGCTCTTTGGTGCAAAAAAAAAAGTTAAGGCAGGCACGGAGCGGGTGAGTGAAAGGAAGAAAAGAGGTTTTGGAGGGGGTTGAAAAAGTTGGCGCCTGGCAGCCTCTTGCCTCGCCCCTGGCATTATTATCACCATCATCCTCATCATCCTTCCTTCTCCACCCCCACGTTCATTTTTGGAGGTACCTGGTGAGTACAAAGTGCTTTGGGGGTGTAGGGGACCCCAAAACTTGGAGGGGCTAGGAGGCGACGGGGACCCTCTCTCAAATAGTCCCCGGGGGTTGAGTCTGGAAAAAATGGTGTGTGTGTGTAAGGAATATATGATTATCTGTATTTCTGTCCTTTCTAGCCAGAGGGTGGGCTTGCTTATTTGGTTAAATTGGGGTGCATTCTTCTCAAACCCCCCCCCCAAATACCTGTCATGTTTTGAAGTCGTGCAGTGAGGTGGGAGGGAAGGAAACACCCTCCAGACATGATTTTTTAAAAATGTCTTCATGTCGAGCCCCCCCTCCCCCTTTTTCCTAATCTGAGTGTGTCATGTTGTGCTCTATTTTGATTTAAACTGATTTAACATTGGCTCAAGGCCCAGTTCTAATTTTAATACTCTTCCTCCTCCCCCTCCAGATTTTGCTTTTTTATTCTGTTTTAACCGTTGGCTTATACTCCTGCTTGGAACTTAACACGGAGCTGCGGGATTTCCACGGGAGCCTTTTGGAATAAGGCAGGGCCAGAAATCCCTCCACTGGATTATGCTGGACAGGGAACGAAAAGTGGAATGGCAAGGTAAGGGCTCAAACTTGGTTTCTTGAGAAAACTCATCAAGCTCTATCTCTTCTACTTTGCTAAGTGTCAAGGTGGGTTTCAAAGAGTAAGGAGGTGTTGAGCTCTATCCAGTGTTATAAGTCAGCTGCCTTGACTAGTTTTCAATAGTGAAATACAGTGGCTGGGATCCACTAAGAGTTCTCAACCAGGGTGGGTCCCTTGGTTCGAAGGAACTGACAGAGGGGGCGATCCACCAGATTTCCTCTGGTTTCATGGGCCCGCTCCAGCTGAACTTTCCTACTGGGTTTTAGCCTGAGTATACTGTTTACTGTAGGATCTCCAGATGTGAGCTTTGGGAAGGGGCCAGGATCCAACCTGCCATTAGTTCTGTAAGGTGTTTTCCCTCAGCAGTTCAAAGAAAGCACAATGTTTGATGGAAAAATCAGAATAAAGCCACATGGTCATAGAAATAGTAGCCAGGGTGGGTCCCTTGGTTCGAAGGAATAAAGCCACATGGTCATAGAAATAGTACAAATACAGAAGTAAGTGATACCTTTAATCAACCATTAAGAACATAAAACAAAACAAAAAAACCAAAACGAGAGAACAAACAGAAAGCTTTCGATGACAAATCATCTTCTTCAAAGCTGTGCCTCAAATTCTTGTGGACGGATCCAAACGTAGGTGCTGTTATTAAGTATTGAGAGTTTTGATCTGAAAAATGTAATAAATATAATGTTGTATAGTGAAAAGTAAAAAAGGGCTGATAGAAGCTGAGTCATGTACTAAGTGGATTCAGGTGGGTACCAAGGTTGAAGACTTGATGTGATACAGCTGGAGAAAATGATGTCAACTTATGTAAGCGTGAAATGAAGTGATATCCTAAATTCATGTGGCCGAAAGCGTAGAGGCTAAGCTAGCTTCTTAGAAGGAAACAGCTGCAGCAGACGCGTGGGTTTGCAAGCTAGCCTTTCGGAATTTACAGCCAATCTCTTAAAAATGGAGGACAGTCCCAGGCACTCTGGGGAGGTCTGCATTTACCGTGTTCGATGTGATCGGAGTTCTTCAGGTCTTACCAGAGCACCCTCGCGGGTCCTCTTGGCCTTCTCATGCCCCTGCTAAGCAGAGCCCATGCCTTCAATAATATTGTGACTGTCCTATTTATACCCATCCACGTGATGGTGGGTTGATTACCAAGTGCAGGTAGAGGCCATAGACAAAATTGGTACTAACCATATTAATGGCATGCCATCAAGTCGATTCTGACTTATAGTGACCCTTTTCAGGGTTTTCCAGGTTAAAGACCCAACAAACTCCAACTTGGTTGACCCTTCCCTTCTTCCGGGGGTGTTGGGGGGACCGTGCGGCTCGCCCAAGGGCACACAGGCTGGCCCTCCTCCCAGGAAGCACAGTGGGGAAATCAAACTCCCGCCCCCTGGCTTTGCAGCCAGATACCTAAACCACTGAGCTATCCAGCCAGCACAGACAAAATTGCAACGCAATAAGACTCACAGTTCTGTTTCTGTGTGAGCTTTCATTGATCAAACTCCTTCATATGGAAGGAATTCAAAAACTATGTTCTCTGTAAGCAGCATTACTACATTGTTCTCTTGTTTATAATAGTCCCTGTAATAGAGAACTTATATTGGAACTCTTTCTGTTTGAAGAAATTCAGTTTTATCATGAAAACTCACTCTAAAGTCTTTTTAAACTGCCGAAATTTTGTGTCCTCCCCTATTTTGGTCCTTTTCCACTCCCCCCATTCTCTAATTTTTACCAACATTCTCAGATAGATTAAAACGGATCTGCTTTTCTGGAAATTAATCCGATAAAACCGTCCTCCCCCTTGTCAGCCTGGAAAGGCATGCTTGTTTCTGAGTTTAAATGGAAATTTCAGATTCCAGTTCGAGAGAAGCTGAAAAGTATCCGGAGACGGGCAATAAAAGTAAGCATGGGTCTAAAAAACCAAATCTTTTAAAGAACAGTGGAGGGATTTGGGTATGTATCAGCATGGAGAAGGTCAGATAGGCAGGAGAGAGCCATCTCCACCTATTTGACAGGTGGTTGAGTTAGAAAGAGTTTCAAGGGAGGGAGGGAGGAGGTCAAGCATGGACTGGATGGTGGTGGACTGTCCAGCAAGAGGCCAGGAGGGTCATCTGTCTGTCAGGGGTTCTGTCCTTGTAAATTCACTCCATCAGCAGGACGTCGGACTAGATAATCTGAGAATTCCCTTCCACCTCTAGAGATGTATGATTCTGTACTTCAAGCCCGTGTATTCTGTGCAGGAGAAATAAGAAATGAGTATAGCACATTTATGCTGTACTCTCTGTATATATAGTGGTGCCCCGCTTGACAATTACCTGTTTATGCTGTTCTCTCTGTATATATAGTGGTTTCCCGCTTGACGATTACCTCATTAGAAGAGGAAATTGCTTAACGATTACGTTTTTGTGATTGCTTTTGTGATCGCAATACGTTTTTGTGATTGCTTTTGTGGTCGCAAAACGATGTTTGGGTTTTTTTCACTTTGTGATGATCGGTTCCCTGCTTCGGGAACCGATTCTTCGCATTACGACGATCAAAAACAGCTGATTGTCGGGTTTCAAAATGGCGACTGGGTGTACAAAATGGCTCCCCGCTGTGTTTAGGAAGGTTTTTTTCCAAGACAGAGAACTGAAAATGGCTGCCCTGTGGAGGATCTTTGTTGGACGGTGAGTTATTCAACCAATTGGATTGCATTGAACGGGTTTTCAGTGCATTTCAATGGGATATTTTATTTCGCTTGACGAGAATATCGGTTAACAGCGATTTTGCTGGAATGGATTATCCTCGTCAAGCGAGGCACCACTGTACTTTAATTGTTCAGCAAAATTTATTTGCCATGGGCTTGTGAAGCATGCAGTATTGACCCATCTTCTGTCTCTCCCTTAAAGGTGGCATGATGGGCCTGCAGCCTTTTTCCAGGGATTCTCCCACAGGAGAGGAGACGGGAGCACTCCAGCCAGATCAGGTAGGAGAGGAAGCTTACAAAGATCTAAGGAAGACCATATGTTCCTTTTAATATGGTTAGTAAACATTATTTTTCTTTCTGGAGACGGAAAGCCGTTTTCTCCTGTTGGTTTTCTCTTTTCCAGGCCAGATGTTATGCCCTTCTCTCTTGTTCCCTTGAAATTTACTTCAGACCATGCAGGAGAACGACTGGCCGTTGTGTATTCCCCTCTTCTAAAATCTGGCTCTTCTTCTTTCAGGATCTGATGAGCTTAGAGGAGGTGGCCGTGTCCTTCACGGTGGAGGAGTGGGCGCTGCTGGGCCCAGGCCAGAAGGCCCTCTATCGGGAAGTCCTGGAGGAGATCAAGGGCCACCTGGCCTCTCTGGGTAAGGCTGTTTCTAATAATTATCCCAGAGAGTGGACAGGCTGAGATGTTTTGTGGCATTATTGGGTGGTGTCGCCTGGAAAAGCTCTGGAGGCACAGGAGGTAAAGCTGAGCGTGTGAGAACTGGGAGATGGGCTCGGTGTATCTGTCATTAGCCCACCATGTTTGGTGTCGCCTCGTTGGATGATTGGTCCTGTTTGAACTCCTTCGGGCGGAACACACCCTTACAGCACCACTAGCCAAAATGACTGACGGCCGCCGGAAGTAGCGTGTGGCCAGGAAGTGAACTTAATCCATGGAATCTTATATTAGAATAGAACAAACTTTAAGGTGCAACAAAGGTTTTGCCTTTTTGTGACACTCTGGATGAGTGGGTGAGGTGTACACCCACGCACAGACACACACAACAAGAAGAATAACAGTGATAGAATAGTCCACACTGGAGGTGGCAAAGCAGGTGCTCCCGATTTCCGTTCACCAGCACCAGATCAGGACAGAAGTTAGTCACGGGGGTGAGGGGGGAGTGTATTCATGTATCTTTTGAGCAAATGGCTCAGGGGGGAAAACAAAAAGTCCCAGGTAGCTTTGTAGCCCAAGATCGGAGATGTGGTGTGTGCAGGAAATTGCTCCAGGTATAGCGTCTTCAGAGCCCTAAAATGAAATACAGTCTGGATAGAAGTATCTGCCTGAAAAGAGCCCTGGATTCAAAATCTGGCTGTCTTTAAATGCAGAGGTTGCCCTCCAGTGGCTATAGACTTCCGCCCCTTTTTGGTTACTAGATCCCCGCATGGCTTGAATGGCAGGCAAGTCAAGCAAGGCTCGACTGAGGGATGAGTGGGGAGGCCACCTTGGTGGCCAGGGAGCATTGGAACATCCTAAAGAGAGCAATCGGAAACTGACTTTTTAAAAGGAAGGTATCTTAGGGTGGTGGTTAAACCACAGAAGCCTCTGTGCTGCGAGGTCAGAAGACCAGCAGTCATAAGGTCGAATCCACGCAATGGAGGGAGCTCCCCTCGCTTGTTCCAGCTCTTGCCAACCTAGCAGTTTGAAAGCATGTAAAAATGCAAGTAGATAAATAGGTACCACCTCAGTGGGAAGATAACGGCATTCCGTGTCTAGTCGTGCTGGCCACGTGACCACAGAAACTGTCTACGGACAAACGCTAGCTATACGGCTTGGAGACGGGGATGATCACCATGCCCTAGAGTCAGACACGACTGGGCTAAATGTCAAGGGGAACCTTTATCTTTACCCATCTTAGGGTGCCGAGTGAAAGGTTGAGGTGAAAACAAAACCTTCTCTCTTGGAAATGCCCAGAGGAACTTCTAAAAAATAGCGAGGTTGATTTGACCCGAGCTTTTGGGGGCTTCCACTTCCTGCCTCTGAAAGAGCAGGGTGCAGTCTGTGAAAGAAGAGGCCAAATAAAATAAAAAGCTTACAGCTCTTGTAAGGGAAATCCTGCATTGTTACGCTTCTATTCTTCTTCCAGCTGAGGCAGAGAGGCCGTTTTTGAAGGAGAAAGGTTGGCCAGAGAAATCGAAGGGAATCTGCCGGATCCTGGTGCTTAAAATAGAACAGCCAGTTTCCCAGAATCCCGAAAAAGGAGACTCTTCCAGAACCAGCAGAAAACCAACACCAGAAATGAAGAAATCGGAACAGCAGAGAATCCGTACATGCCCTGAGGTCCTGGTGGCTCATCAGAGTAGTCATGATGGAGTCAAGAAGCCCTACAGCTGCCAAGAATGTGGGCAAAGCTTCACCCAATGGTCGCTCCTGAGCACCCATGAAGAAACCCATGCCCAAGAGAAGCCATTTGTTTGCCCTGAATGTGGGCAGCGCTTTTGCAACAGGACCAGGCTTGTTTCTCACCACAAGATCCACACGGGGGAGAAGCCCCATCATTGCACCACATGTACACGGAGCTTCTTGCTCAAGCATGACCTGATCCGACACCTGAGGATCCACACCGGAGAGAAGCCCCACGAGTGTCCTGATTGCGGGAAAGGCTTCCGGAGCATGTCGGCCTTCCACGTGCACAGGCGGATCCACACGGAGGAGAAGCCTTATTCGTGTTCGGCCTGCGGAAGGCGCTTCCGCCATCGCACCAACCTCACCGTGCATGAGCGGATCCACACAGGTGAGAGGCCGTACAAGTGCAAGGACTGCGCCAAGTGTTTCAGCGATGCCTCGTCCCTCAAGATACACCAGAGGTGTCACACAGGCGAGAAGCCTTATCTCTGCTCGGAGTGCGGGAGAAGATTTTCCCAGAATGCTGGCCTGTTCCAGCACAAGAAGATCCATACGGGAGAGAAGCCCTTCCAGTGCGCTCTCTGTCCCAAAAGCTTCCGGGATAAACGAACCTTTGCCAGGCACCAGGGAACCCACAAAAGGGAGAGGCCGTTTCATTGCCCGGTGTGTGACAAAGGTTTTGGCTCTCGCTCGAATCTCGTTAAGCATGAACAAACCCACTTGGCACCAAAAAAGCTTTAAGCCCTCCTAATATGGGGGGAAATTCCCTCAGAGATCCATGATGGAGGAAGTGCCACAGGTGATTTTTTGTGACTGCCTGTTCTCTTCTCCCGTTGGAGAAGGGAATGATCTGTTCATAATTCCTGAATACAGTAGGGACCCTCATATCTGCAGGGGATGGGTTCCAACATCTCCTGGATGGTCAAAAACACAGTTTATAGCAAACACTATAACATAGTCTGTTGGACACATGGCTCCCCTATACCTTTAATTTTTATCTCAACAGGGTCTGTATAAGAGCCGAGCTGAAGCCTTCTCTTCTTCCTCAATGTGTTGGAACACTAAAGACAACCATTCCACCCGAGTAGACATTGTCTAGAGGGGCGGGGTAAAAATCATCATCAATGTGTTGAAGACTAAAGACGACCATTCTCCCACCCACCCCTTCACTCACTCTCGCTCACACATACAGAATCTCTGTAGCTCTGCTGCCTTTCTTCTTTGAATAAGTGTCGCCCACACCCTTTACTCACTCTCGCTCACATATACACAATCTCTGTGGCTCTGCTGCCTTTCTTCTTTGAATAAGTGAAGGATCCCTTTCCTTGTTTGCCCGGGAGTCTTGATGAAGAAGTGGCTGGCTGGAAGGCAGGAAGGGGCAGGAGATGGATGCTGGGTGGATGGTGGATCAGGCCCACCCTGCAGCACTGAGGAGGCCACTTTTTGAGGGCCTGTTGGGAGAAAAAGATGCCTTGCCCTGGTGCCAAGCTGGTGGGATCCTGAAGGTGCTGGGAGAATGACCCTAAGGAATCGGGGTGGGAGGAAGGTAGGTGGGCACTTGGAGGGCATTGGGGGCAACATGCAGATGGTCCTTCAACATCTGGCACCTGATCTGTCCCCTTTGCACGTGCTCACTTTGGCAGGTATGGATTCACCTGCATTCACCTCCAGAGATGATTTTGTTGCAGAACATGCCGTTCTGACTGGTGAGGTTCCCCCTCATTTGCCTCTAGATAATTATTCCTATTATTGTTTTGCTTGTTGGAGACCCACACCTTTGAATGTAAGTTACAGATCTTACCTTACGGTGGTGCAGTAAAGGTAAGCTGTAGAAACTACTATGTTGAGTTGTTCTTTTCTCTTATGATGTTTTTGCTCCCAGTTTAAATAAAGACTTTCTGAGCTGGATATTGACGTCCATTCCCGACTTTCACCGGGTTGCTGAACCAAGACCTGTAATTTTTCAAGATTTGATACATGTTTGTATGTGTGCACACGGTGGAGGGGCGGACGGGCATGTGAATGAATGAAAAGAGTGAGTTCCCACTGTATTGGGAGGTTAAGAGGAACATGGGTGTTATAATCCAATGTATCAGAGGAGCACTGGATCAGGGTAAACTGAAGTAATGTTCCTTTCTCAGTTAAATTTCTATTTTTGTTATGTGTATTTTTTTTATGCATACGTTTGACATGGTAAACTCTACGAAGATAATCGGATGATGATATCTTCTACCTAGTTAGCCTGACAGCATCTGGATTTCTTGTTTAATATTTTATTTAGTAGTTTCGTCTCCCATCTTATTTCCAGTGAGCTCCAAGCAGGGTATGCAGCGTTCTTCCTCTTCACCCACAACCCCCTTAGGTAGGTCACACGGGAGGAGAAAGGCCGGGCCAAGATGAGGTTGAGGCTTCCTGTGGGCTAGAACCTGGAAATCTCAACTCTCTGTTGATTACAACCACATTGCTTTGCTGTTATTTGCCATCAAGTCACCCCTGATTTATAACAACCCTATGAAAGAGCAATCTCCAGAATGTCCTGTTCTCAAAAGCCCAGCTCAGCTCATGCATCAACACGAGGCCGGGGCTGCTTTTAGGGAGTCAGCCCATCTCGTATTTGGTCTTCCTCTTTTTCTGCTGCCTTCCGCCTTCCCCAGCATTATTGTCTTTCCCAGAGAATCCTGTCTTCTCATGATGCACTCAACGTCAGAAAGCCTCCCTTTCAACCTTTTTTGTCTCCGGGGACAATTCAGACTTGATTTGATCTGGGACCCCCTTGTTCGTCTTTCTGGCAGTCCAGGACATCGCAAAGCTCTCCTCCAGCACCACATTTCAAAGGAATCATTCCTCTACCATTAGCTTTCTTAACTGTCCAGCTCTCACATCCAAAAGGGGATGATCAGAAAGATAGGAGTGTGAATGATCTGTCTCATAAAATTCCACATTTTCGCTCACAATGACTGTGGAGTCCCATGATTTTTGTGTTGCACACAGATGGGATGCATGAGTGAACAGTGGCTTGGGGATGATCGTATGTAAAAACCATGGATTCACAAGGATTCCTATCTCTGATCGGTGTTTCTGCATCCCTGCAAAGCCATGTGCTAGGGTGTAAGAGTTCACTTGCTACCTGAGCCAATTCTGGCTCCCTTTCAAGAAAAACATCTTGCTCTTTTAACAATGAAACATTTATTGTGTCTTGAACAAATAAACTAGTGCCTTTAAACATTTCTGAGTCTTTGTCTCCCTCCGTCAACAGGACTGTCTGGGGTTTCCAATCTTCAACAATAAAAGGGTTGCCATAACTAGCGTTCCCTATGGGCCTGGTGGATCTGAGGTCATCCAGTCTCTCAATGGGGTGGTCGATGGGCCAGGCAACAGGGGCACAGCCTCATCTCTGAGAAGGTCGTCCCAGAGGGTATTCCCCGGCTGATCCAATGTTCCCCAGACCTTCTCAACTCCTCCATCTTCATTGCCAGAACTCTCCATTCACTCCTCTTATGCTTCTCCTCCTCAACCTTCTCTCTTCCCTCTCTAATCCTCCTCCTCCACTCTCTTGCCTCAGTTTCTCCCCAGTAAGAGAGATTCACAGGAATAGTGGACCTCCTCCAATAGTCAACCTCTTCCCTTGGTACCTTGATCCTTTCCCATCTATCAGTCCAAGGATCCTTGGTCCAAATTGATTCCCAACCCAGAGGCAAAGGTCTTCTCTCTCCACCCTGCCCCCCCCTCTGCACCATCCCCCTTCATGTTTCCCGCCTTTTCTCTCTCACTGATTCCCATCCCCCTCCTACATTGGATCAACTGTTCCTTTCTCTCAGGGTGTTTATTCAAAGCACTCCTTTGAACCATTGAGGGTTTGCCTTTCTCCTCAGTCCTATCAATGTCGAGGGTGGACAGCTCTCAAGCAGGCGAGGCCTCCAGCTCGTCTCCTATCTCACATAGGGAAAGTATTATTACGGCGTTGTCATGTGGAGGCTCTCATGAGAAGAGAAGACTCCCTGGAAAAGACCCTGATGTTGGGAAAGTGTGAAGGCAGGAGGAGAAGGGGACGACAGAGGATGAGATGGCTGGACAGTGTCTTCGAAGTGACCGACATGACTTTGACCCTACTCCGGGAGGCAGTGGAAGACAGGAGGGCCTGGCGTGCTCTGGTCCATGGGGTCACGAAGAGTCGGACACGACTAAACAACAAATGTGGAGGCATGGGGGGGCAGAGATATGTGATTTGATGTGGAGCTGGCAGGAAGCACACACACAAATCAAATGAAATCAGAAGGATCTGTGCTTGATTTCATGGATCCACTTTTTACCCAGACCTGTGTGTCAGTGTGCTGGTGGTGGATGCAACTTATGGGGTGGGGGGGGAAAAGAGAGGGGCAATGCGAAACTGAAAGGAATGAATAAGTTCATTCCTGGAGGACATGGGGTTTTTTTGGGACAGCTGATGGGGAGGCCGTGGGGAGAAAGAAAAGGAGGAGAGAACATGTCTTTTCAAGAAGAGATCCTTCAGAGCTGAGGCGAGGCTCCAGCGGGAAGGGAAAAGATCTTCCTGGCGGTGGAACTCTAGGTATGGAAACTCCATGGAAATTTGTTTCTCAAAGGATGTCCTTACTCAATCCTAGAGCGTCCCTGCCGGAAATACAGAAGAGGTGGAGGTCTCCGTCCACCTCCTCTCTTTTTCCGGGAGGGTTGGTACTGTCTAGGAATGAGAGAGAGAGAGAGAGTGTCCCACACCCCTACGCAAGGGGAGGGCGAGCTTTCCCCCGGTGGAAGGACCCCCTGGAAAACCGGTGAGCCTCCAGGCGGGTGTGGGGTGGGGCTTGCCTTAATGGGGGGGGAGGAGACGGGTCAGCGAAGGGCGTGGGGGCTGG